TTATGAGGCATTATATGGTAGAAAATGTAGATCTCCAATTTATTGGGATGATGTTGGAGAAAGAAAATTTCTAGGACCAGAGATGGTTCGTGAAATGGCTAAAGTTGTGATACAAATACGTCAACAAATGCAAACTGCTCAAGACCGACAGAAAAGCTGTGCAGATCAAAGAAGGAGAATGTTAAAATTCACAGTTGATGACCAAGTATTTTTGAAGGTAGCGCCGATGAAAGGGGTTATGCGATTTGGAAAGAAAGGAAAATTGAGCCCAAGATACATTGGTCCCTTTTCAATTATTGAGAAAATTGGAAATGTTGCCTACAAGCTTGATCTTCCTTCATCAATGTCTCAAGTACACAATGTGTTTCATATATCTATGCTAAGAAAGTACATTGGAAATCCTTCTCATGTATTTAGGAATGAACCAGTAGAGATAAAACCAGATTTGACATATGAAGAAAAACCTGTTGAGGTTCTTCAACGAGAAGTAAAGCAACTTAGAAGCTAGAAAATTCCATTGGTTAAGATATTGTGGCGGAATCAGTCAAAAGAAGAAGCCACTTGGGAAAGAGAAGATGAAATGTGGGTTAAATATCCTGAACTTTTTGGTAAGCAAATTTCGAGGACGAAATTTTTATAAGGAGGGAAGGATGTAATACCCCAAACTTTCTGTTATATATTTGGCCATTGTGATTCATGCATTTCATGCTATTCACAATGTTACTTGCATTAGTATTCTTAATTACTTTATCTTAAAATAGTGCATTCGATTATGGATATTTTAAGATTTTATTCTTCGACTCCTAGACCTAGGTGTTGAATTTTGTATTGAGCTATGATATAAAATTAGGTTAACTAAATATTAGAGATTGGCTTGATAAGAAATGGAATATCGAAAAGGTCGGAAATCTGTATCGACAAAAGTTCAAGCTTTCTATTCAGTTGATCGAGACCACCTTAAACCCTAGATAGGTAATTGACATATTTGGGACATGATAAATAAAGGAACATGATCATGATGCGATAATATATGTCTCATATGACATTATAAATATCGAGGTGCGATTTGATGAAATCGATCGAGAATGGGGTGTCAATCGGGTAAATAAGTAAATGAACGATTGAGGAATTAGCTCTATAAAATATTTTGGGATCTTAGGGCAAGTGAAATGGATTGTAAACACATTAACATAAGCCCAAGACACTTGATTTATACCTGCAAAGATAGATATAAAATCAGATTTTTTTTTTTAATCATAAATGGATCCAAATATAATGGTTGAAAATCAAGTATGGCTACAATGAAGACACGTCGTGCTTGGCACCTCATGCTTGGGATAGTTGTCATTTTAACACTCAATCCCTTCATCCTTAAGATATATAGCACGTCTCCTACCTCTTTTTATTTAATATAGATAGATATATATATCTTATAAATCAATCTAAGTTAAATAGTCCAAGAGAAAAGTCAAATATAGTAGGAAAAGACCACCTCATGCTAAACACTTGGCTGCACCCCACATTTTCTTAATCCTTAAGGAAGAGTCACGTCTCCAGCATCTTGAAGACTTTATATACACCTCCTAACAACATTTTTAGTCTTACAAATTATCCCCAATTGAGCACCAATTGAAAGAGAAAGCAAAAAGGAAAAGAGAGAAGCAGAAACAAGGAGCTGAAATTGAATTTCTGGATAGGTGAGTTTAACTCACGGTTTTGAAGTTTTTCTTTAGTTCTTTTGCTTTTTTTATAATATGTTTAAACTATAAACTTACTTGAGGCTAAATATAAGGGTTTTTTATGATGGCAAAAGAGAGGGGTAATTGAGTACAAGAACCTGAAAGAAACCAACAGGAATAGAGATGTGTTGACTGATGAATTTGGATGCTTTAAACTTTGATTTTGGATAATACTGAAGACATAACTTGTATCTATGTAAATGAATGTTGTTATATGGGATTTAGAAGGATATAAATGGTCTTCTAATAGCCTGGAATCTGTTTGATGACATGCTAACAAAATGGAAACCGAAAGCTGTCACAATGAAAACTGCCTGATTTTGATGTCGTGGAGATGGACTATTTTGATGCTGAGAACACTTTATTTTGATGCTAACAAAATGGTTATATGATCGCTGATTTTGATATTGTAAATGATCATCACAGGTGATTTGAAGTTAACAAATAGGGACATAATTGTGCAAATGCTCGTTTCATTTTATTAAAAAAAAGTATATCTAAATTTTATGTCTAGATCGAGTTACCAATATCATTTCGACATAGGAATTAGTATGGTCATTTGTATATATTTGGGGTGTGACAAAACAACGCGTCAAAAATCAGGGTACAAATTGCAAAGTTCAATCGGTTAGAACCATGCAACATCTACACTATGGTGTACACATTTTAGTTTGCACTTTGCCACGTGACATTACCCTGTTGGACAGTTTAATATTCAAATAATTTTCCTATCTAATTGAAACTAGGTAACAATGCAAGTGTCAAACAGCATGTCAAAAATCAATGTACAAACAGCAAAGTTCAATCGACATGAACCGTGCAACGTGTACACTATGATGTGCACTTTAGTTTACACTTTCCCACATGATATTATCATGTTGGGCAGTTTAAATTTCAAACAATTTTTCCAACCAAACGACACTTGACGACAACGAAAGTGTCAAACAACGTGTCAAAAATGAGTATACAAATAGCAAAGTTCAATCGGTAATAACCTTATTACATGTACACGATGGTGTACACTTTAGTTTACACTTTGCCACATCACATTATCCCGTTGGATAGTTCAAATTTCAAACAGTTTTCCCATGCAGTTGACACTTGACAACAATGCAAGTGTCAAACAACGTCTCGAAAATCTGTGTACAAATAGCAAAGTTTAATCGGTAAGAACCTTGCTACATGTACACTTTAGGTTACACTTTGCCAATTGACATATCCCTGTTGGAAAGTTTTAATTTCATACAGTTTTCCCATCCAATTGATACTTGACAACAGTGCAAGTGTTAAACAACGTATCAGAAATTAGTGTACAAATAGCAAAGTTCA